GGATCTGTTTTGGGGGGGGGGTTTCTGAGCACCTTCACAGTGATCTGTCCTTATAGAAAGACTTAGGATTGAAATTTGAGGATTGTATTTCGCTTGTTAATTTCATTAACATAATGCAGAAGCCAGGATTTTAAACCTTTAACCCCCTCACAACCCCTCCTAACATTACAAAAATGGATAAGCAAGTAGACATTTTAACCATTAAGAAGCCAAGAAACCCTAACCCAAGTAAAATCAGTTTAAACTGCAAGAAGCATTTTAACTTTTATGCTATGTGAATGGGAACATGTAACAAATATAAAATGGGTATCTCAATTTGGCTGCAAATGTGAAAATACACTTTAAATGGCTGACAGTGTCACTTATAAGCTGAATTCGGATCAGAATCTCAGGATATACATTTTATGCTTTCTGTATTTCCTGTGCTGGTAACTGGATACTAAGGGAACAGCAGCATTAGGTGATCTTTCCGCTCTCCCCATCTGTAATCCTATTTGCAGACAGAACTGAACAATGCACTCGAGCCCTAGACAGGCTCGGAGCACTACCCTTCCCTCTTCTAGTCCAAGTGCTGCTGTACAGGGGATCACAGCAGACTGATCTCAAGACTCATTCTGTTACTCTGTTACTTCTTATTCTCTGTGAAACCTGAAGGATTATCATTAAATACATAACTGGAATAAATTGTGTTTTTACATATGATTGGAGTTCACTATTAAGCTCTAGGTGCAGTGCATGAACATGCCATGGGTCTGAAATGTATTTATTTATTTTTAGAGCAAGAAGGCTCACATTCCCTACAGGGACAGTAAACTGACCCGGCTATTGAAAGACTCAATTGGAGGAAACTGCAGGACAGTCATGATTGCGGCCATCAGCCCGTCCTCTCTCAGTTATGATGATACTTACAATACACTTAAGTATGCCAATCGTGCCAAGGAGATTAAACTCTCGGTGGGTAGCTATCAGGTCTAAAGACAACATTGTTGCTTTTATTATGATTGTTGATTGTGTTTATAAATCTCCTGTAGTATTTAGTTAATAGACAGGCATTCTTTCTTTTATTAGTAAATCGCATACAGTGTTATTTAATAAAGAGTTGTAATTCCTAAAGCAAACCTGTCGGAAACCCAGACAATTCAAACTGAGTGTATGCAGACTAAACTGCATAAGCAGAGAATACCTTCAGTGTAATCTGCATGTCACTACAATCAGTAGGTCTCGAAGTATAGGCAGCTAAAGATATATGTAAAACGTAACGTTTCCTATAAAAAACTAAGCCTAATCCCTCCCCCTTTCTGCTTCCTAACCCTCTACTGGTGTTTTAACAAGATGTTAATTGGCTAGTCAGGTACTTTCAAATACTTTACATAGACTGAACTGTAATGGAGATTTCATAGTGAACCTGTAACCTAGCCTGACTGTCCAAATAATTGAGTGCAAAGCCTCCAGTACTTTAAATCAGTGACCCAGAACTAATAGGATTGTCAAAAGTTCTGATTTTGTTCTCTGCATGTTTGTTCTTGGACAGTGAGTCAAAGATTTGAAGGCTAAAGAAGCCAGAAAACTATCATCTTTAGAGGGAGGTTAAATTTCGCCGCTCCTATGTTTCCTTATTGCTTTTTTTTAAATTATTTTTATTTTTTTATGTATAGCCAAAATAGTTTTGTTTTAGGTTTGGGTGAAGTTTGGGAAGCGTTAGAACCCCTGTCAACTTTTTATTGATGTTTGTGTTCACAGTGGGGTAGATTCAGCCTCTATTTGTCTTGGTGACCACTGTCATCTATACATAAAATAAACAGAAATCCAAAATTTTACAGTTGTCACCAGAACAAGAGGTGAGGGGGATTCATCACTGGGTAAATCTGGTTCTGTGATCAGTTCTCCAGGGCATGAAGTACATGGGAATTTCCCAAACAGGACAAAAATAAACTGACAGAGGTTTTAACTCTTCCCTACTTCATCCACAACTACTTATATAAATATACAAACACTTTAAGCAGAGAAACATAGAAATGGCAGAGCTGTGGTAACCAGCCAGTAATCTTGGTTTAGTTGTCATCTCTTGGTAAAGCATAAACTTTACCCGTCACTGTTTGTTTATTTGCCAGCTGTTTGCTGACTTACTAAACCTACTGGACATCAACTGAATAGCTTTGATGGCAGACAATGACTGAGCAGTTAAAAGGCGTGTTAAAGTCTAATTTAAAGTCTGATTCCTCTATATATTGTCTTTGTTTAGCTGAAGAGCAACGTGATCAACCTGGACTGTCATATCAGCAAATATGCAGCGGTGTGTGAGGAGCTGAAATCCGAGGTAAAGGTTATCGGCGTTTTTGTGCTCCATGGCCTTTTAGCATTTCATGGCCGGGGCCAACAACAGATTAATTTTATCTATACATTTCCTTTCTAATCAGGTGGCTGAACTTAAAGCTAAACTATGCTTTTATGAGAATAAAGAGTCCACACTGGAGCAAACTGATTATTTACCTCTGTGTGATAGCCTTGAGCAGAGGACATCATCCAGGTAATGACTCCTCAAGGACATCTAACCTCCTCCTTTTTTATCATTTTATTGTTCTTTGTCTTTCATAAATATTAAATCTCAAGATATTAGAAATCACCATTTAATCCAGTTATGCACTAAATTAATTTGAAATGCCTTTATCAGTACTGCTGGTTTAATCCTAAATCTATATTGGCTTCTTTAGTGTCCTTCACAGCAGTGCTCATAATCGGAGGAGGATCACTCGTAACTTGCTGAAAGGAGGGGGAGAGCAGAGTGATGAAATAACCTGTCAAATGTAATTGTCCATTTAGAAGGCAGGGGATTGTTGGCCACATTGTATTGCTTACCTGCCATGGAGAAATGTAACCTCAGGGGCCAGTCAACTTTGCACCCACCTCCCCCTTTCTACAAAATATATTTGCTCCAATCATCCTCCATGACAGCAACCTGAGAGATAATTGGTTCCTCCTTCTGCCGGAAACACAATTGAAACAGTAAACACACCTCCCTCAGTTTAGATTGTGTTTCTTACCGTCCAGGACTATGTCACATTTGTTTCTTTTGCCTGATCGATCGGCCTTTTGGTCGTGGGTCCCCTCTCTATGAAGCTCTGCTCTGGGTTCTTTCTACAGCCTGCAGCCTTGCTGTGAATCCAAGGGTTTATCCTCAAGATTCCAGATGCTGGTTCTCTCCTGTCCTAGAGAGCACGACACCTGAAGCCCCTGGCGGTGGTGCCCTGTCCTTATGTGCTCCTGTGGAACAGGAGTTTCCCAACGGAATGGCTGAGCGGGCGCTGATTCCCAGCGGTGGAACGCACGTGGGGGGTTTGGGGGAGGTGTTTGTGCGCTCTAGGCCTCGTTTTCGTAGCCGGTGATGTAATTTCCAGCAGCCGGCACTTACCTCCCTTCTGCTGCACACTCTATGCCTTTTGACATGCATGGGCGCGCTCTCCAGCCCCACGGCCATTTCAGGACAGCAAGTGGGGGGTAAGGGCGACCACAGGGCTCTATTGGAGGAAGAGAGCAAGCTGGCGAGCATTGTCTCCAGGTCTAAGGGTGCAGTGAGTGTACGCGGTCTATTGTCCTACCCAATACAGTGTTATGCTGGAGAACTTGGAGGCTTGTTTCCTGGCTTACATTACTTAAAATGTTTCTGCCTAGGACCCCTCTTCATCAGAGAGAATGTCACCCCAAGGTTCTGTTCCACCTTCTGCCCCAGCTGCCAAATAAAATAAGAAACGATGTGGCAATTGTAATGCTAAGCTTCCTGCTGGTTATGTAAAGCCCTTGTGTGGTTTATGCATTCAAAAATTATTGGCAAGCGAATAGAGCTGCAGCTAACGATTATTTTCAAAATCGATTAGTTAGGCGATTATTACGTTCGATTAATCGGATAAAAAATTAAAAAACAAAATCGATTTTAAAGAATGGCTCCAGTGATGGACAACTAGTTTGTATTGAGATTGCAGTCCATCACAGGAGCAAGCTTGGTGCGGTGGAAGTAAAAAGGGGGGGAAAAAAAAGGTGGTGTGCAATATAGTGAAATGAAAAGTGTAAAATTATACAGCAATGAATGCAGAATGGCATCGGCTATAGAGGACTACAAAACCCAGCAATAGTACATTATACAGCACAATGCAGAATACCACCAGCTATAGAGGAATACAACAAATCCCAGCAATAGTACATTATAGCTGGCGGTATTCTGCATTGCGCTTTATAATGTACTATTTCTGGGTTTTGTAGTCCTCTATAGCTGGTGGTATTCTGCATTGCGCTGTATAATGTAGTATTGCTAGCTGTTGTAGTCCTCTCTAGAGAGTGGTATTCGGCATTGCACCACTGTATAATGTACTATTGCTGGGATTTGTTGTACTCTTCTATAGCTGGTGGTATTCCGCATTGCGCTGTATAATGTATTATTCCTTGATTTGTAGTCCTCTATACAGCGCAATGCAGAATACCACCAGCTACATTAGGAATACAACAAATTCCAGCACTACATTATACATACAGTGTATAATGTATTATTGCTGGGATTTGTATTCCTCTGTATAATATACAGCACAATGTACCATCAGCTCCAGAGGAATACAAATCCCAGCAATACATTATAGAGCACCATGTGTGGGAAAAATGCAGGCTTACCTGAGCAGTCTTCAAGCAACTTGTTTCTGAGATCGGGCCTGTCTATCGGTGGCTGTCATCCGCCCACACCTGCTCCTCCTTACTTCTTCTCCCCGTGTCCCTGTGCCGATCGTGGATTTGGGCGGCGGGGAGGAGGTGTGGAGTGTGGATGCGGGCGGATCTGGCAGCGGCGAGCGTGAGGTGGGGAGCAGGTGTGGCGCACAGCGTGTGTGGAGCCGTGAACAGGGCCAACCAATCGGAAGCCGATTAATCGATGATTGAAAAAGTTGACAACTTTTTCAATCGATTATGTTGATTAGTTGTTGCAGCCCTACAAGCCAATCTTCTACTTTTTATGAAGGGATTTTTGGATTCTATGAGGACTGAGATGGTAGCTACAGTACAGTCTTTTAAAAGTGTTGTTGCTGAGATGATGTATGCTTCCTCTACTCCCTTTTTGATTCCAGTCATGCCTGGTCCTTCTGGTTTACAGTTTAAGCCAGTATCATTCCAGGAGACTTCGATAGGAAGGAATTTTGATTCTGATTCCGGTTCAGATAGTTAATTGGAGGAAGGAGAGACCTTAGATGAGGATGTGGAGTCTCGGCCTTCTATACATCTATTCCCTTTAGAGGATATAAATTACTTATTGCAAGCCATATATGCTACCGAGCAGATCCCGGATCCACCTAAAGTAGTGTCGGTGCAGGACAGTCCATTCCAGCCTTGGATTGGGCACAATTTCATTCCAGGCACCTTCAAATGTTCCTGTTAGCACATTGGGACAGAACAAGGGAATAATTGGATCAAAAAGTTTTTTCTTCCGGAGGATATTCACCAGTCTCTCAGGTGGTGGCTATCCCGCAAGTTCTTGGGGCTGGGGAGCCCACAAAAAGGGCTTCATGCCCATTGTGACTGGCCTCAAGAGATGGCGGAAGCCTCCTCAAATACATCAAAATGAATGGGAGCTTCATTCGGAAGTGGGGGCAGCCACAAGTGGACTTATGTGCGAGGATTTGCAATAGATGCACTGGAACCATGTGGAAGTGTGGAAAGTGTTGTCTTCTTTGTGTAATCAGAAGAATGTGGTCTCATCTTCGGTTCCGATAATTTTAGATTTTTTTTTACAGGAGGGCCTTGATAAAAAAATGTGGCGCTTAGCACTCTTAAGGTGCAGCAATCAGCTCTATATTTAAGTCTAAGGTGTTTCCCCTTTGGGATTTGTCCCTAGTGTTAAGGGGTCTGTCGAAAACCCCTTTCTAACCCATTTTGGAGACATCCATTAAGTGGTTTTCACTAAAGATGGCTTTTTTTTTAGTGATCACCTCAGCTAGGAGAATTGGGGTTCTGCAGTCTTTGTCAGTTAAGGACCCTTATTTACCTATTCCTCCTGATAGGGTTACTCTTAAACCAGAGCCTTTGTATTTGCCGAAGGTATCTTCATAATTTCAAAAGTCCCCAGGAAATTACTCTCCTTCCTTCTGTGATAGCCCAAAAGACCCTAGGGAGAAGGTATTCCATACCCCAGATGTCAGGCGTTGTTTAATTAGTTATTTAGAATTGTCTAGCTCTTTCAGAAAGTACAGCCACATTTTTGTCCTTTTTTCTGGAACCAGAAAAGACCTGCAGACATATAAAGCTTCCTTAGCCAGATGGATTAGACAGGTTATTGTGTTTATCGGTCAGAAGGTCAAGAGATACCTTCCTCAGTTAGAGCACATTCTACCAGGTCATTAGATACATCCTTGGCAGAAAAGGCAGGGGCATCGGTGGAACAGATCTGCAGAGCAGCTGTATGGTCAAGAAAAGACTTCAAGCATTGTCGAGTGGAAGCGTTGTCTCAGCCTTGCTTTTTGGTCGGAAGGTGCTTCAAGCAGTTGTCCCACCCTAATGAGGTAGGCTTGCTTTTTGGTTTGTGCTTGCTTATCCTCTCCGGTTGCTGTCCTGGAAGATAATTGGAGAAATGCTCCGTTAGACTTGCCGGTAACTGTATTTTTATGAATCTTTCAGGACAGCAAGCCTACTTCCCACCCTTGATTATGTATGCATCCTATTATATTTATTATTTATGGGTGTTTGTTTCCCTCGTTCACTGGTGGAGGTAGTGGAGGTAGTCTTCTTTTATCTCAACTGAGGGACGAGGAAGGTGGGAGGGGTTTTTAATTGTGTTTCCTGTAGAAGGATGAACCAATCATCTTTCAGGTTGCTGTCCTGGAAGATTCATAGAATTAACTGTAAATCTAACGGAGCCTTTCTGAAAGCACTGAACCTATAGAATTTTTCACACCCCATGATATTTTCACAATCCTTATTAAAAGTATATGTTTTGATAAAAATTCACTAAAATCTTTAGTAGATGCACAGCAAAATCTACAAATATTGTCCTAAATATAAAATATATAGCTAGATCACATTAATAACAAACATTGTTGCAGGTATTCCAAGTGTAGATAAGTAACTTGCACTAAAAACCTTTTTATTGCTTTTGCACTGTATTAAAAGTTTTGGATGGAGCGGGACTAACTGGGGTAAAGTGTAGTGATGAGCCTGGAATTGGTGCAAACCCAGTTTGCCTGAGTTCACCCAAGCCAGGGCAAAACTGTGACTGCTACCCCCTCCTCCTGACAGAATCTGTTGCAGAGAGTTGCATTCCCTGCCCTACGTTACATATACAAAGAAGCGGGGAATACCCCCACCTCAACTGCCACCACTGATTGGGCTGGTAGGGGGGTGTGTTGGTCACAGTTTTGAGTAAGCATGGGTGAATTCGGACAAAGTGGGTTGGCACCAAGCCCAGGCTAATGAGCACCACTCAAGGGCAGTATGTTGTTTCTGTTGAAGCACCTACTATTTAGAATGGTAACAAAATCTCTTCACAACAAATGTATTACCTATTTATGCTGACATTTGTAGCTTCACTGTCATGCCCACTGTATTGACCACCATTTAATACAGGACCATCTGAAGTGTTATGCATTATGCTTGTATGTTTATACTTTGCTCTGCACTCCAATTTGTTCTTCATCCTAATGACAATAACAGTCCATCCAGAGTAGCTGGGACCATTTAGCTGAAATGTGTTACATATGCACAAGCTGCAGAGCTTGGGGGGAAAAATTCCTCTTTAAGTTATGCGCCCCCCTCCATTTTTATTCCTTGCTATTAAGATTGGATCTGGAACATGTAAAACAAAATACATAAAATAAAAATCACAGGGTAAGCATATTGCTTTGTTCTCCTAAAATGTTTCATTTTAGTTTGGCATTTTCAAATTTTTATTATGTTTACCACACGGAAAAATGGATTTCCAGCTGAGTTATATGTCTTACCCCTTTTATGCCCTGCTTAAGTGTTTCATGGCAAATAATTTCTGTTTTGTTTTTTTTTAAGTTTCTTTTATAATGTCCACACATTGCATTGTTTACACTGTTTCTTGGATGTTGCTAAACCTAATAATGTGGCGACATTCATCTCTCCTGGCAATTATTGGACTTGGATCACTTTTTGTTGCAAAATATTCTCTTTCAGCTTGCAGTAAATAGGATGAATGTGCAACATTGAAACCCACCATGCAGGTTTGGGGGTTTCCATGATACAAGCATTTTTGTGAAAGCTTACCTACATGACACAGGAATTTGTAAAATGTATCCACCAACCTTGTGATCCAGACAGCACATGTCGTGCACTCACCTTTTTGCAGATTGCACTGCTGTAGAGCAATATAGCCTGGTCTAGAATCCACCCCCCGTCTCTGACTGGACAAAGAAAGGGCAGCAGTACACTGGTAAGCTTGTAGCTCTTTTCTCTCTTCCTATCAGCAAGCACTGTTAGTTGAGTAACAGAGTGCAATGCAAAAAAGCCTGACTGGCATATAGTGCTTCCTCTCTCTCATAGTATGAGTGCTGCTGCGAAAATGTTACAGAAGGCTGATGAT